CGCAATACGTCTAATTTCGTCAATACAATTTCGTTATTTTATGGTGTCATCTTCGTTTCGTAGGATGATTTGTCTGTTCTTTTTCCTATAAAGTGACGGCATCGCGACACGGCAGTGGTCGTCACCCATTTACATTGGATGGCGCACGATGAGTGAAGTGAATAGACTTGAATAGAGTTTTGGACAGAATAGATGGATACAAGTCCTATCGAACAGTGGAGTGGATCACCACAGTTTTAGTTTCCTTTGTAATATTGTAATGCAGGTGAATTTTTTCTGCCGGTTGGCCATCGTAGTTCTTGTTTCATTTATGATTGTGTGTAATATAATCATTTTTGCTTCAGTTTTGATATGCATTTAGTGTTAAATTTGCTTTTCATCGATTGAATTGAACACCCATTGTTTGGATAAAATTGTTAACACTTACACCTTTAATTACAATCATCACCGAAAATGTCCTTCAATTACGAATATGCGATTTTAGGTGTTTTTCTGGACAGGCTGAGAAACACTTTGACCCATGCGTTAAGCTTCGCTGAGTCATTGCTCGGTCGTTTAAAAGTGGTGATTTTTTTAACAGCTCCTCCTGCAAGATCGCGTCGCGGACGAAACTTCGCTTAACGCGCTCATTTAGCGATCAATTAGGTAGCTTATTCTTCATCATTGACGTTGTGGTGTGACGCGTTTGGAACTCGTGACTGGCCTTGGACAATCAGTGAACTCTGTGGCGTTTCCAATGTCGATCACAACAGATGTTACAATCTGTTCATAAGGCGAGACAGCTACTTTTGCAGAAAGTCAAAGGCTGCGATGTAGAACAATACAATCCTTAACTGTGAAGGCTCGAAAGCAACGCAGCTGCATACAAGTCTCTATCGAAACTATGCACGATCCCCGGAATTGCTATCGAAGCTATCCAAAGGCTCCTGGTTGGAACAATTTTTTCATATAGATAGTCGCATTCGGCAGTTTCTAGGCGATGTGTTGAACGTGACCTGACCACCTTAGGCAACTATTTAGGGCGACTCAAAATATGCGATCGACGTAGGCTAGATTCACCCCTCGATTCAAACACTGAATCCAGGGCGCGCATCAGCGGTGATGTCAGGTCTTAGACCAGTTTCCTTTTGAGGACGTTCAGGGAAGTAGAACGACATTGGACTGCTCGAACAGTCGATTTTGAAATGAAAAACATATGAATTTTGGGCTGGAGGTCAAACACGGTTCCTCTTGCATCCAAATGATAGCCCCTCCTATTCGAGTTTTATGGCCGGCCGATCTTTGATAGACAGAAAAGTGTTATAGTGACGAATCGTGGCAGACGCACTACCGTTCTCAGTCACGATTCCTGCCGCAGGACGACAACTGAATGTTTATTACCATATAACAGCCTCGTGCGCTCGTTTATTTTCTCAAACAGCAAACAATAGTCTGTGAAAGTTACGACAGGAAACACTAAAGATCAGCATGTCTGTACTTTCAATGCTGACCTCCAACTGATATGCAAACCTCTGGAATCCAGCTGCCCTTGTGCAACGTTTATCGATCGCAAACGATTGATGAAGCTGTTCGGAGGTTGCGCGCCCGCAAAAAAATAGCGTAAGTCAACTATCTTTGTTAACGAATAGAAGTTGCGAGACGAGGACTTCATCGACTGTGGATGTCGGGAATGTGGAAAGCAAAAAAATACGAATTACAATGGAGAAAAAAATAATTACAGCAAGTTAGGGATCCTGGAGTAAAGGCTCAGTTCGATTCCAAGCGCTATCGGGATCAAGACGCATGTACACATCAAGGCAGAACGCTAACTGATAGCATGACGCGCTGATATAAAATGAATGAATGAAATATTAACATATACATATCACAAAATTGCAGTGTATCATGGTGTGCACTTCCTGAACCTAGGATCATCCACTCCATCCTACGAAACGGACGCCATTAAGTCGCTTCTTCCGGCTTGCCTACGTCCACTTCGCGTCACAGTGCATGCTTCGATGATGACCGCCGACAGTCACATAATATAGGCAGAATTTCCTTAAATGTAATTGGCTGAATTTCTGATATACAAGGTATAGTACGAATAATGCGATTTGACGATTTAGATAAATGACTGTGAAAATTTCGTATTCGTTTAAATTTGCGATCTGCAAGATAGTCAGCTGTGCGTAGTTACAGTACGTACCGTTACTTGAGTTCTTTCCTCTGACAATTGGCTATTACATTCGTTGTTGATTCGTGTTGTTTGATATATCATGTTCTTCGTCAGTAAGTTATGTTCACCTACAAATCTTATAATATGGCAATAGCTAACGTATACAATAAGTGATTTATTTCATATCAGGACATATCGTTGTGCAGTTTCAACATATGTGCATAGTACCATCTTTTATTCCTCTCCGCGTTCATCATCATTTGAACATGCTTCCAGACTTGAAGGGTACCATGTCAGCTGTTATCTTCATTCTTCAGATTTAGCTAAATCTGGTTCTTAGGACCGGCATCTGTGATCTGTGAATGACTTCTAAAGCAGAGCAAGACCACTTTATCTGGACAGCAACAAAGATACTTTATCTGGACAGCAACACTATACTAAAAGTCACTGTCTTCTCAGTCCTGGTGTACAGCCATGAAATATAAACACATTTAAATCGCCATGAAAAAGCGTTAGACACTTTCCAACAGCGCTGCCTGCGAAACATTCTTAAATGCAATGGTTACATCGAATGAAAAATAAAAAGATCTTGGAGACGACGGGCCTGAGAATGCTGTCTGAAGAAATCAGGGACCTGTGTCTGTCGTGGTTTGACAGAATCATCTGGAGAGAGAGAGAGAGAGAGAGGAAAGAGACTGATCTAAAACTATTCTCCGCTGGGAAGCAAAAATTGGGCGCAAGCGCGTAATAGACCAACATTGCTCCGTGAAGCAGCTTCTGGTAACGATGAACTTGACCGTTACCGCAACAGCCAACATCGCCTTAATCCTTCTGAGAAGCCAGAGCATCAGAGTCATTAATCGGATACTCAGACCTTGACCCTGATACCCCAGATACAGCAACAAGTCTCATTTTTAGTGACAGATTAATTTTATTTTCACTTCTGTCGTTTGTACCTTGAAAAAATTTTGAAGGTAATTGCACCTTGTATGAAATATTGCAGATTACTCTTCAGTATGATTTATGAATGGGGAAAAAAGAAAATTTGAATTTTTTGATCGTTGAAATCTTGTTTAATTACGTTTCTCAGAAAAATGATGAGGCACATTAATGTGCATGTCGAAGGCACCAAATCGTCTGCCACTGGTGGATCGACTTTTAAAATTTTTTTCATTTTGTCGAATCTTTCCTGTTAGTCAGCCAGTTTCACCGGTTTGTGCCATCGGTTTGCGCTTTTCGTTACTTTTCATTCTCCTGCTTGAAAGTTAGATTTCGTACACGGAGATTTACGCCACTGTCGTTGTTTTCTTCTCAGAGAGCCACAGCAAGAATCTTGCAGGTTTTGTAACGCTATATCAGTAAATTAGCCAGAGAATGAAAGGATATTTTTATGCCTGAAAAAATGGCTTGTTTTTTGATTGTGGATACGTCTGGGCAATACTTTTTGAGGTTCCTAGAATTCGATCGATTTTTACAATGATTATTAAAGTCTTGAAGAGATTGAATAAGAGAAAAGAGTGAAGTGGTAGAGATACAAATTGAAAATCAAAGCGGAAAGTGCTTGGCGGCCATCCATGAGGTCTGAGATCGAATTTGAGCATCTATGCATAGGAAAAGTAGATTAATGTAAGTCGAGTGCTAGTACCAGAGTTCTGAACCATACAGACAACGTCATTGCCTTCCCTGCTACGTATGCTATTCTTTTTCTAGACCGACTAATGCAGTTCTATGCGTTTTTAATGTTATTACTTTATGTATTTAATTGTTACTTAATTTTTTCTTAAGCTTAATTCTTGTTTGGGTTGGACAGCAACTGCCATCGTTCGTGCATTTGATCGGGATGCGCGATGGAGACGTCCTGTGGAGCGGAGTCACATGAAAGGCAATATGGATCGGGACAGATGACCATCAAGAACAATACGACCAGCTGTCTCGACTTTTTTGAGCACGTGCCATATTCATATCAAGCACAGGATGCTTCTCCGATTTGCGTTGTACCAGACCAGACCCCTCCTGGACTAGCTGCCTCCTCAGTCAGCGAGGTTGCCTGATGGAAAATGAATTAGTCAATGTGAGGTTGAATGATGGAATAAACGAATGAAAGAGGCTGCATAGCATGATTCCGTAACGATCTTGTTTATGCAGATAACTTTCATTTGCTGACAGTATGCGAAAGATGTGGCAAATGGCTGATGTTAAGGAAAACGAAGATAGATGGGGTTATGGGGAATGTAATATGATAGCGAAAGGTAGCATCAACAAAGAGAATGAGATGTGGAAAAATTTCGGAATTTTTATAGATATTCGGGCAGGACCACTCCAATTTAAAATTCTGCCCCGGAAATCTCAAAAACAGTGCAGCATATGTCTTAAGTTCAGAACTTATTAAAATTAAATAAGCAAATAGCCATGGAAGGAGGTGTCAATTCATTGCATGCTTTTAGTGCTTAATGATTCTTTGTCTGTGGTTCAAAGCAACGATTCAAAAAGGATTATACAGTTTCTTTTACTCACCAACACGTTTCGGTGCCGCACACAAGCGTGTTCATTAGGATTATATTGATATAGGATTATGTCGGTTATATCGGGGGCTGTATAACATTAAAGAAGACGCTGCCATTCGGCGTCGAAACGCTTCGGGGAGTAAAGGAAATTACATAATTCTTTTGAAATTGCTGTTTTGAACCATGGATCGATAACATCATGAAACCTGTTGATTCACCCACCTTTCGCCCGTTTACTTTTAAAATGCTTCTTTTTCTTATTTGCGTAATGTTGCGTTTACTATTGTAGTTCAAGATAACGACCGGGCGTTGATCGTGAATCCAAGGGACATACGTGTATGATGGGTAGTTTGCCCGTGACGCTGGAATTCGCCGGTGGATCTGAGCTTCTGTTCGACAAAAGGCAACGTGTGCACGACATCACTCTGTTGTCATCCAACGGCGATTCGGACAGGTGGACGTTGGCTCGGCTGTTTACGTGGGTCAGGGACAACCTGCTGTCAAAAAACGCTGACATGTTGATCCGCGATGGCACCGTGCGACCCGGTGTTTTGGTGCTTGTCAACGACGTTGATTGGGAGCTACTCGACCTTCAGAACTACGTTATCAAGCCGAAAGACAAGATAACTTTTTTGTCAACTTTGCACGGCGGCTAACCGTTGATTTATGTCGTCTGTTGTCACGTACTAGTAAAATCTGCTCATTACGGTGTTTGACTTTGTTGATGTTGCGGTTCCTTGCATCGGTACTAAGCTTCTCATCCGTGCGCTGCTGTCCAGCCCTTTGAGCGTAATGTTTCGGTTTTATAATTTGTTTCGTGGTATTTAGTGCTTTTCGATGTGCTCCAGCATTCAGAAGTCTGTCCAAACGGTGGCCGAGCAGTTCGTCAGCTTCCTCAACAAGGCGGTGACTCCTTACCATGGTACGGAGGCAACTTCAGTTTCTTACTGTTTGTCAGTTTATCATTGGTGCCATGTCTGGTAGGAACATTCATTAGGAACTGTCATCGCTTCGAAACTGTGCCACAGCCCAAGTGGCCATTGAATAATAATTATTTTTAGCTTTGTCTCTTAGTTATAGTTCAGCGTGATCTACTTCTCAAGTTAATGACAACAAAGCAGGTTACTCTGGATGATGCGTATTGGGAACAAAACGTTCTTATAAGAATGTTTGTAGACAAACAGAATGAACAGGAGTGTTACTTGCCGAAGAGTAGGCCCATGCTCGGATTCGCCTTCGGAATGCATCAGAGAATAAAGGAAAGGACCGATCGCTTGTAAGGTTTCATGCGACTGGTAATAAGTCTTCATTTGTGCCTTATTCGCCGTAGCTAAAGCTGACAAGCTGCTGGTGCATCCTACCTAGGATGTTTTCGTTCTGTGAATATGCTTTGGCCAAATGACGCCACTGCATATTCGACCACTTTTCCAAGGAAGTTTTGCATGTCTTCTTTTAGGTCTAGATTGTCATGGAAAGCTGCCATTTTCACAGCTCTCTGCAGTATGTACCTTCATCTTATGTTAATTTAAATATGTAGATCGGCGTCTCATATTCGGCTAGACGTCCATGCACGTTTCTTAGTTTCAAATCTCTGAACCTTTCAGTACAGCTGAACCGGTTTCAACCCCT